AGAGGACCAGTGTGCCCTGGTCCCGCAAATTTTGTGATTAAATTGGTGGGCTGAATGGCAATCCCCGAAAGGGGTAGGAAAAAATGGAAAGCCTCAATTAAGGGCTGTCTTTTTCCGGAAAACGGGGAGTGCGAATACAATCTGACGGTACAGTCGATTTCTGTGTAGCTATGGCAAGTCAGGCTGTTCAAAAGCCAAGTTAAGTTCCACCGACTACGTCTATTCAGCATTCCTTGACAAATGATGTTTCCGGACCAGGGCGTGCGATAAAATAAATCATGAGATACATCACGAGTCGTAAGTCGAAGGAAATCAGTTTTTTTAACGTTACGCGCCCTTGCAAGCGTTGTGACATCGACCACTTGATGAAAGCTCCGTCGTGTAACTGGTAGCCTCTTCTGAGAGGAAGTTCATTACCAGAATATGCACACAGGGACTCATTGAAAGTTTGTTCTTCTCGGTGGTCCTTTCTGAGGTTTCCTTAAGAAGGAATTTACTGTAGGTTGGAAGAAGTAAACAAACGGCATACACCATCAAATTCCACTTTTTCATACTATAACATCGTGTGCATTCTGTATGCAGAAGTTTTAAAAATTTAGGACCCCTTAGGAATCCTAACACCTTGTCTCCAAGAGATAGAAACACCTCATTCAGTCTTCTGTCGACTGGTTAGGCCTCATTACGACCGTAAAAAATTGGAAATAGGATATTTTCAAGGAACAAGAAAGTAGAGTTAGTTTTCAGTGTCAGTTCGAACATCCTTGGCTAAGTCTGTCACAACAGTTATGCTCTCCGGAGAGACTACGTTAATGGGGCGACAAATGGTGGAATTTTAATACTGAAACAAATTGAAGGAGCAAAAAATGTGACCTACTAGACAACTGATCTGGCCTGAGGGTGGTCTTTCCAGAAATGGATATCTCAAAGTGCGATACAGTGAATGAGGCCTCTGGAGACCGCTATAACACAGAACGCCAGAATAGAATATGAATCGATGTACGTACACGCGTGCCCTACGTATCAAACAGTCAGCATAACTGTGTAGAAACGGACCATCGTAAACGAGATTCACCTGGGTTCAACTGAATCTCCTGTCAAAACCGAAATCGTGTGCAAATGAGATTAGTTGTCAAAATACGTCCAGTTTGGGTCGAAGCAGAAAATCAGGTTTATAGAAACTCGGGGAGTGCGCCGGTGGAGCTCGGTCGTGGGCCATTGAGGAGGGTTCAGCGGACTTATGAGTTGTGGATTACTTCTAGATTACTGTGTACACCTCTGGTCTCTAGAGTTATCCGTCTCTCAACAGACCACACTGCGCAGAGCATATCGGTCAAAAGAGGCCATTTGGGTTCCAGTAGCTATCCCCAAGTAGACACCTTCCAGAGGAGACCAGTTCGTCAAAATCTTTAGGTCACTCAAGTGTAGCGCACATAATGCAGGTGGATTTCAGATAGCCTAAATTAGTACCATCTGCTCCAAACCAAAAGTGAAACACTTTATTAAAAATTATTAACAAAATGTGACATCCTCATGGATACTGATGACAAAAGTGAGCTTGGAAGCTTCACGTTTTGAAACGCAGCAAGCACGTCTATGATAATACGGGTGGTCGCGCTGTTGTTGGTCAGTTTGCGTTCAAAGTGCGTGCATCTATTTCACTGCTTCCAACCTGCCATAATCTTATTTAGCTAAACGGCATCGTATTTTTGGGGTCAGAACGATTTGTCCCCTTTTGGTGTTAGTGTGCATGCAACCAGCTTCCGACCTCTGATATCTGAGAATGCAGAACTATTTATATGAGATCGGACACAAGCTTCGATCCCAAAGACCACCTGTTTTGCACTTCCACTTGTGGACCGTAAAGTGACGGCTTCCTGGCGCAGTTGTCTTAGCTCTGACCATCGCGCGATGTTCGTGGATGGTAAACGTGGTCTTTGGAAGGGGTCTTTGCTATGATGTGAGCGCTATAATATCGTTTAACTGTAGCACTCTTTCGGTGACTAATTGCTATGCCACCAGGAGAAGGTGCGAGGGCTGGGATACTGCCAGGTTGCCCCAGCCTAGACAGGGGAAGTCGAGATGCAAAGATCAGGTTTAAACCACGGACTTTCTGGTCAGTAAATTCGCACTCTAACCACTGAGCCATCTCGAGTGATAAAAGGTGAAGTTACAATATTAATCCACCAAATTAGTACATGACATTGCATCGCTATCCAATCTTTCGACCGTGCGGTCCGCAGAAGTTGTTCCTCTGAACCAACAAAGATCTGTTGAACATTCTCTCGCAGTGTTCCTGTTCGGAAGAAATATTGCACGAATATTATGTTGGACAAAGAACACTCAGCTGTGAGTAAATGTCTCTCGATTCCATTCAGCATATAAAATTTTCGACATGATTTAGAACCAACGTGGTTTCCGAGGTTTGAAACCTTCAGTCGCGGTTAACTGTGCGCTTTGCTAGCTACTAGCGTACGCCGAGAATACTCTATTGATCAAGTCGAGGTAATACTACTGGAAACCGCGGCGATGTTGTTGGGGAGGCAAAAAGTTTTACCTGAAAGTCGATCGGTACATATCAAGCAATATGTAATTGCGCTTTCATTGAGCTACTTTTTCTTGGAAAACAGGATCAGGCGGCAATTACTTCTCTGCGTCCGACGGTAGTGCAGTTCGGGCAAACTATAGGTGTGACGATACGCGGAATGGCGCACACTTGGAACTGCCACGTTTTACGGAGTGGTACACGTCTGTCGATTATTGAGTCAGTCACCCTTCTGTCTATTAATCTGAAGGCACTCACGAACTTACTCCGTTTTTCACTCCCTTTGTATGCCGTTTTGTTTGTTCCGGACCGTCTCCCACAGTCACAGCCATGCTGTTTATGCCAACATCGATGCATCCGTTGTCCACTGCCCAAAGTACCGCTCTCCAGTCTAAATTTGGGTGTGTTACGTCCAAAAGAATCGGAAGATGGTTTTGTGGAATCCGTCATACTACCCCGAACCCTACAACCAGCTGTGCCCTCTTTGGGGCTCAACAGATAGGCCACCTGTATGCAGAAAAACAATATTAGTAGGAATCGCGGTATAGCCTTCGAGATCTAATTGGATGATAACTCATTCATTTAAGCTACTTTGAACGGCCCTTGGAGGAAAATCTAAACAATCCAGAATCGGATATCAGTGTACCAACCCGTGCGCAGCATTCGGATATCGATTTGGACGAGAACCACTGGGTCAGTTAGCTGCATTCGGACAATCGCCATAAGGCAGTAACAAACCAGGGAAAAGCTTACCTTAAAATTGCTCTCCACGGTTGGCAAAATTTTGATCTCCTTATTTTCTTGTAGCGTACGAATCACCATTCTAGAAAAGATACCAGAAGTGACCAGAAAACCGGTTGTGATGAAGCCGAAAAAGGTGGCTATGTAGCGTGGGTCACGAAGGTATGTTAAACACATCATATCAGACCTAACCACACATTGAACTAAGTAGTTGTGGTTGGGAGTTCAAATGCTGCACACATCGCCAGTGGTATCCCATCCCTGTCATCCCGTTGACTTGATTCCACATAGACCCAGGGTCCTTTTCCAGATTTCCGATCCGTTTCTGATCCGAATATTAAATTTACCCAACAAGAAGAGGGAGATACTGGTGGGTGTGAGTCTAAGTAGGCTCGACATTTGATCATGGAATTTATTCTTTTCCTCACCTGAGTGTTACGTTGTGGTGGCATAAGCGCTGTTTGGTGTGATAAATTTTGCCTTCGACAGCCGGACCATCGTCCTCGAGAAGGGAATTTTCAGTGGGAGTTCGTGTTGTAAGTGAATCTTTGCTGAAAGCCAAGAAGAGTTGTGGTGGCATAAGCGCTGTTTGGTGTGATAAATTTTGCCTTCGACAGCCGGACCATCGTCCTCGAGAAGGGAATTTTCAGTGGGAGTTCGTGTTGTAAGTGAATCTTTGCTGAAAAGCCAAGAAGCACTGTAAAGCTGTTTCATCCTTATTGAAAATCATCAGAAGTGCACATCTCACGGAGTTTCGAACCCACGACATCCGGTCTGGCAGTTTGAAAACCGAAACGTTCGAATGATTTACCTACAGCTCGTGAGCTGCCGACGGCCATAAACCAGCTGTAAAATGGGATAACGGTGAAACTGGGCGGAGTGGAACGAAAACAGACCAGTGCAATGGAGCGTTTCGATCGTCATTCTAGTCTTCAAAAAGGGCGTAAAAACGTCATTTCAAAACCGTCGTGGAATCAGCTTAGTAAGAGCGACATGGAAGGTGGTGCCCGGCATTATTTTGCGCAACCTGGTCGCTTGTCAGCATGGATAATCTTCAAAACCAAGCTGGATTTCGGCCTGGCCAAAATATATCGACCATATGTTTATATTGAGACGGCAACGTCGTCTGCTCACAGAGAAAGTATGCAGGCGATTTGTTAAACTTGGTTCATCACATCATTTTAAATAACCTACACAATTTTGCAGAACGGTTTGATGTGAGCTTCACGCCTACAAAGCGTAAAGTACTACTACAAGACTAGGTGGGATCGAATCTAAACATCATGCTTGCAGACCAGCCAATTTACGTCCTAGATAAACTTATTACCTGGGCAGTTGTATATGATGCGGTGGACTGACTAGGGACGAGGTTATTTCTCAAATCAAGAAGGCCAGAGCAGCTTCTGTCAGCCCAAGTGAACCTATGGCGCCAAAGTTACATTTTGTCTGTCAAAACAAAGTGTATGTTGTGGTGGTGTGATCCACACTGTCCTATGGATCAGAAACGTGACATGTACGTGCAGATGACGTGCGAGAGCTGTCGGATTTAGACTGTTGGTATTTCCGAAGTACTGATCGGGTCTGGTGGGAATATTGGATTAGCAATGCTGAGGTAGGTCAGATAGTTTTAGGAAAAAGGAACTCTCCCACGATAGACAACTTACTTATGCTTCATATGTTACGCTGGTTAAGTTATGTACTTCGGATACCAGAAGACTTTTCACCGTGAAGGGATCGGTTTGCCCAAGTACCAAAGCTACCGCCTTCAAAGCATGGCTACCTAGTTCCCCATCACCTCAGAGAACTATACAGTACGAACCATAGGTAGGAGCGATAATCTCCAACTGTTGGCTATATTTCTCGATTTTCAGTGGCCAAAACTGTAGAAGCTGGAGCCAACGCACCCTTGGCGCACGGTTTATAACTTATAAAGTGAAGTGGGGATCGGACAGCTTGTCTGCGAAAGTGTTCAGACTGAGAGTAGTGCCAGTGCGCCACAAACTTCTCAGTCTGCTATACACGGACGGAAAACTACGGCATCATCAGCCTCCTATGCACAACGTGTAAGTTTGTGATTCATACCCTGTTCAAACGAGGAATCAGTGGCTTTATGGAGGAAAACGTTTCTGAACAACAGTGTGAATTCCAAGTCGACCGACTTTCGAATGAACTATTTTCCTGACGGAACGCCGCTGAAGAAGTCGCTGAAAGCTGTTCGACAACCAACGAACAGTTTTGTTCTTCCTGGGCCTCATCAGCTAGACGAGTGATTCAACTAGGATTCTGTTGTATCTCCTGTTAACATCAAATTAGTTCGCAAGTAAGCGTATTTCACCAGCTATGAGTGAATTAATTTCCTGCTGAAAAACAGGTCCAGGAGAAGTGCATCAACGGAGCCACCCACACCATGGATTGTTTGTGAACTTCACCACAACTTTTGGCACAAGCAGCGAAGAAGTACTGTGGATCGCCCTAGATCAAATAAGAGGACAAAATCTTGGACACTGAAGTCAGTCAGAGATCAAACACTAGGAACTGAATTCAGTCTGGTGCGAAAATGGCTTCGCTTGGTGAGCCATTTGAGGGGGATGGTCGAAACTGGCACACCAAAACTTGTGTACTGTCAGAGAAAAAATGGGGTTGACTATTTGGGACAGCCTTCAGGTAAGTTGAAAAAACTGTAACCTCCGTTTTAGGTCATGATAGGACCTCGTACACAAGAGAACGGTGCGGATAGCTGCTGTCTACACAGGAGCGTGAAGCTTTGGGATGATACGTGTCGCACAATTGAAAAACAAACGAGCCATTCGGAAAGAGTTCGATCTCTCTGACTCAACTATGATAAAGTGAACTTGCGCAACATGCGGACGCCTGCGCCTTGATGTATTCAGTCTTGTGTCACCAGCGTACTCATCTGACACACCTAACCACCAAGAACGGAGGTCAGTTCTCCTCACTTTTCAATGAGTACCTACTCAACATCTCACCCTAAGGATGACATCGCTAACTGTATTTGCTCAGGTTGGGGTTGACGCTCAAAAACAGATAATGGGGAATGGCTTTTCCAATTACCTGCTGGACATTTGTTTCTAGTCAGTACAAACTTTCAACACGAGCGCTCGCCGTGTGATTTAGAGGTCACCAACTGCAAATCAGTCGTGGGCTCCAACCACGGCACTGTACGGACACGCGTATCTATCCCCCGGAACACGCCATCTGAAAAACGTCTGCGTGGACGGGCACCATCAACTAACCCTTTGGAAGGACTAAATCTAGCCAGTACAAACTTTCAACACGAGCGCTCGCCGTGTGATTTAGAGGTCACCAACTGCAAATCAGTCGTGGGCTCCAACCACGGCACTGTACGGACACGCGTATCTATCCCCCGGAACACGCCATCTGAAAAACGTCTGCGTGGACGGGCACCATCAACTAACCCTTTGGAAGGACTAAATGAACCCCAATGGAACGTCGACATCAGTCCACCAACGACGATGGAAGTCCAGCATGCAATTTCATAGCTTGAGCGCAATAAAGCACCCGGATCAGACGATTTACACAATGCACTCTCCAGAGAAGAAGACGAATCCGCCGCGGATAACCTAATCACCCTACCACAAAATGTCTGGAATGGGGCGCCTTTACGGTGACCCCAGAGGCAAATAGGGTGCAAGATCATCACACAAAAACCACCAAGGCATCAGCCTAGCCTACAGCTTCCAAAATTTTCTACGGCAATATCTTGCGCAAGTTTATCCGTCATCTAGAGAATCAGATTCACGAAAATCAACCTGGGTTTCACCGTGACCGGGGTTGCACGACCATACCTTCACATCGTGGAATGTGTTGGAATTGCACAGTTCCTTCCGACGACCAACAATGGTCGTATTCCTCGATACCAAAGATGCCTATGATTCCACTGATTGACAGAAAGTGTGATGTCGTTTGGCCATGAAATGTGTCTCCCTAAACTCGTCTATTGTAAAGGTTTCATGTTCCAATTTTTGTGGACGCGCACGTCTACGGCAGATTCTCTCCTGAGTTCACCATATCCAGTTGTGTCAAGTAAGGATGTCCTCTGTAGACCTTCCTGTTCAACTTCGGAATCGATGCGCTGCTTGAATCTTCTTCACCTGTCTATAACACCTTGGGGATAGAAATACCCCCGAGGCGCTCCGATGTTCCAGCCCGTGCTGGGACCAGCGAATTAGCGATGGTGTGATCAAGAAAGGGGTCTTTGGTGAGGCAGACGGTACTTCAATCAAAGAGGGCGCTCATCATTGCAAGCTAGGGTGGCGTGTCCATGTAGCACGCATCATGAGAACAACGTTGTTTTCCGTGACTAATTCTGAATGAAAGAAACCTAGAAGTAGACAGAATTTGATGCGGCAGAAAGGAATGAAGGATGTTACGAAAAGTTAGGGTGCCGTTGGTGAAATTTGGCTTTCAGAATGGGATTCATGTGACCCGCCGTGTGCTTGGCTGGAGACAGTGAACGATATGGCGACCAACAGATGTCAACGGTGGTCACGCCTTCAGTTCCTATCCAAGTTGTCTGACTGAGTGCTGGAGGTGTGGATACTTGAGAGGTTTCTTGTAAGCTAGACCTAGGTCCCTCTCCTTGTCCTATTTTTCCATTCTAGCACAAAGCTTTATTCAGATAAACTGACATGGCTGAAAGACACTGAAATACCAGTGTTTTTACCCCCGTGTTGCTGCTAGTGATGACGACGAGGTGTACTTTCGCCCGCTGTTGTTATGCCCTCGTGTCTACATCAGCGTTGTTGTGGGAAGATCGGGATTAACTATTAACTTATCCAATTGGGAACTTAGGGTTATTTAGCTTCGACAAGCCGTGGTTCGATTGTCATTGGGCGTGTAGATAGAAAGGCAGGCTTGAAGACGTGACCGGAAAGGGCACAGCCACACGAAATTCACCATTTCTACAAGGTTGCCAAGTAGCACTTAACGATAAGCCGGGCTTCGACTTAACTTCGCAGACGACCATATTCGCAATGCAGCACTACCACATATCAGTCAATAACGATGAATGAACTGAGGACCGTTTACCCCTTCAAAAGAAAGCGACTATCATGGAGGCTCAAAAAAGGCCATTTGGATGGAAAACAGGAAAGGTGTTCACCAAGGTGGCGAATCGAAAAGTGCAGCACGGAGGAAAATCGCGGTGAAAACAACGTACGATTTATGTCGATCCAGATAGTCTTTTTTCTCCACCAGCGGCTTGCATTCTTTGATATCATGGAAAAATTGTAGATCCAAGTCAACGCCTGACGAATCGTCTTTCAAGTCTTTTAGGGATGAGAGGGAACATTGAGAATATCGTAAATACTACTAAAAAAACAGCATGCCCCTTTTAGCAGTCAGATTAAAAAACATTAGCGTCAGCAGGTACGAAATGAACGAGCGAAAGCCTCTCCACAATACTCGTATCGTTATATTAAGTCGGACGGAAAAGTATAGAATGTAGTAGTCCTCAACCACTAGAGGGTTAGTGAATGGGGCAGAAAACCTGACAGATTTGAGCTCCCGCAATTTCGTTGAGTCTGTTCCACCGATTGGATGCGAGTGCTTCTCACGTTAGTCATCTTAAGTCAAACAATGGCTTCGTACCATATGCTGGAAGGGCTAGGGACCGAGCACTAGCGAGATAAATATGCAGTAACGATCTAATTTAAATAAAGCATTCCTTACATCGACGGTTGATGTGCGGATTTTCAGCACCAGAGTAAACGTCCATAGAGGATCCACCGAGGGTTACTCACTTTATAACGCCTTCACCTCTGAAAACCTAAGCGAACTGTCATGAAGAGACAGTTGACAACTCTGAGTCATCTGTAGTCAGACGAAAAGACCGGTGTGCCTTCGGTGAGCACCCATTGGAGAAAGGAACTTACCGACTTCACTGTTGGCGTTAAGCGTGCGAATGCACAATCAGAAACCTCCATGCAGCCTGCCGATTCTACATCGAATTTCAGCCCAAGTAGTGAACGTGTTATTCGGCAGTTGCGACTGNTGAAAACCTAAGCGAACTGTCATGAAGAGACAGTTGACAACTCTGAGTCATCTGTAGTCAGACGAAAAGACCGGTGTGCCTTCGGTGAGCACCCATTGGAGAAAGGAACTTACCGACTTCACTGTTGGCGTTAAGCGTGCGAATGCACAATCAGAAACCTCCATGCAGCCTGCCGATTCCTACATCGAATTCAGCCCAAGTAGGGAAAGTGTTATTCGGCAGTTGCGACTGAGATAGATTACATCCCTCAAAGCTAGGCTGACCCACGTAGAGAACGAAGAACGCTATCGTTAGCATCACCATCATCAACAGCACATCAGTGTTCAACACTAACACATGGCTGCCGTACAACCATAATTTATTTAAAAGCCTTATTGGAAGCAGAAGAGCGGGATTTTCCAAAAAGTCACCGCAGTGAATCACATTCTTCACCTCTCAAAAGGCTGGTTGCTGTCTTGTAACACTGAAGTAGTGGATTATTCAACTTGCAGTCCTGAATCTGAACCGGAGATCATGGAAGATTACCTGAACGCCAATCTTACGAGGGTCTGAATGTCTATGACTGCGAAGCTGTGTTTGGTAATACGGTAAAACAGTAACAGTAGTTTGTCCGTCGTACGCTAGTTCAATCCCAGCTGACAACAAAAAATAAAACTTGAGAAGAAGTCCATACCGATTATCAAATGATGATGCGCTGATAAGTACTCGATTACCCGTTGAATCTCTCGTCCATAATGTATTTCAATTAAGTACGTCGCATGGAAGCCGTCCATGTTTCATTTTGAGAGGTACTCAAGTTGTCGGAGTAGATTCCTCTGAAAAAACTCTGAGACAGCCCAATATCACTTTCCGGGTTTTGGGGCTCGCCAGGTACATCTAGCCCCCAAATTTTCACTATTCTTATTTCGTACTTGAACATCAAATTGGACGCACCTGAAGATAGACACTAATTTTCCTAGACTCCATTTTATCATACAAAAAATTTATCTGCACATATGTCCAATTCGGTGTTCAAGTACACAGTAGAACTAATGGAAATTCGCAGAACGGTTTACTTGCGGAACCCTGAAAAAGTGGAACTAATGACGGGCTTTCCATAGAGCCTGTAATCAGTGTCGTACAGGTTCTAGTACGACTAAAAGCTACCTTGGTCCACATGGGCTGGCAAACTTCCCGTCATAGTATAGAATATAACATGAAATTTAACCATACATAGGAGCTTCTCTATTGACCACCCATCTATAGTGAGTGGTTGGTTCCTCCAATGACTTCAAACCATCCGGCAGCAATACGTTTAGTAAACCTCACCGTTCCCATATAACCGACTGCAAGAGTATTTATTCAGCATCAGAGAACTAACAGGCAGTGTTTATTTAATTGGAGAACTTCTGTTCGCGGAAATGCGCTAGTTTATAATATCCTCTACTATAACCTCTACATCTCTTTAATAGATTTGTTTTTGCAGCTTTGTCGACCGTCGATATTGAAAAGCTTTACAGTAAACAGCCCTTAATCTGAACCAGAATCCAGCTAACTGCAAGATCGATTACAAAATGAATAACAACTGATGAGAGCATCGTAAAAGTCTGCGGAGAGAAGGAAAAGCGTGTGGAGAAGTTTGCGAATATTAAATGCGAGACTCAAGTTAAAAAATAATGACCCCGAGCTACACAAATAGCATGCGGAACGGTGCGAGAAGGATGTTGTGCTTTGGAACCTTAGACGCAGTGAAGAGGGGCTTAAGACAATATATTCCACCAGGGTCAAACAGCAAAACGAACCTTTGGCCAAAACAGACCAATGAGCCATCAGCTGTCCGGCACAGTAGGTAAGATCACCGAAGGTAATGTAGGAAAGACTTCGTTTTGATACCTCAAACCTGAGGAAAGGAGGTATGGAAAGTGTTTTATCGCGAGTAACTTACCACAAGTAAGCACAGCTAGCGCATGTGGAATCGCATGCAGGTACTGAATATTACGAAACCGTAATAAACGAAACCCAAAATTATTGGACAGCAGTTAAAAACAAAGGATAGTTGGCGATGAGGAGCCGCAGTTAGTTAGTGCAACTTCACGCGCATCAAATTTGACTGGCTGTCGAACGCCTGCGGTAGCAATTTAGTCACCTGATTTAAAAAAACGATCATCAAAAGGCCAAACAAAAGTTAGGATTGATGAATGTCTTCCAGCTTGCTTATCGATTGCGACAAGGGTCTTCAAAAGCCACAATATCTAAAAATAAACTTTCGGAGGTTGCTGTGCCTCAAGTGTTGCTTACGAATTTAGAATTAATCAGCTCAACTACAAAAACAGCCACGCTTCAGTTTCCAAAAAATTTCCAAAAATTCGAAATGACATTACAAACTCGGTTATCTGTATGGGAGTGCTCACTCAAACTAATGATGTGTGAGCATTAAACGCAACTACTGCGAATCTGAATAACGGATGCGAAAAATAATGCAAGGGTAGCCAAAATAAAAAATAACTCCTTTTGAAGGATAACAGCTCTTCGCGAGGCTGGGACATACCGATTAGTAATAATAAATACGACAGCTGCGTAGAACTCAGAAAGCCACGGTGGGAGAAGGAACAAAGCTTGGATATTGTCCACCAGGCGGCCGGGCAAGTCTTCGGTGCGACGCACCACACAAAGCAGGTTATCAAATTGTCGTTTGCAGCTAGGTAGACGGAGTTCACATCGTTCGGTGATTTCCGACAGTTCACGTCTGGTTTTGTTCGTCAGTTTACGGCCGACCAATTCACGGAGAAGTCTTTCATCAACTGAATAGTACCTATCACCCAGGGTTAAAAATGATGAGAAACTAGACAGAGGAATGTTGGGAGAGGAAGGAGAAACGGAATGTTCAGGGGCAATCCTCTGTCGGGTTTTGGGAGAGGAAGGAGAAACGGAATGTTCAGGGGCAATCCTCTGTCGGGTTTTAATGACTATTCAACTGAAAAAAAAAACAGGTAAAGCCGGGGCCATCAAACAGCCATGGATAAATTCGAACTACAGATACCTGACAGTGATGGTAGTCCCACCCGGTACTCCCATCCACGGCCTCAAGAGCATGTATAAAAATAACTAGCTTTTGGTGACGCAGGTGATTCAGTCTAGCACAAACCGTTTTTACCTAGCCTATGGTCAGTCATTCCCAGGGATAAATAGTGACACAGGTTATCAGACTAGATATCACGAAAAATATCGCACGTAGCTCGTTGATTCTTCTGAAGGAACATGCTGCTCATAAGGCTGCTGAAAAGTCTTCGATAGCCCACAACGGGTTTCGCCTTTGGGGCTCATCAAGAAGGCGAAATCCTCGAGTTCCCGTCAATCGTATTTTCTACTTGAACACAACTGGTGAAATACGTTCGCAAATTGAATTTGTGTTAAAGGAAGACTCACCCGAATTCCGGCTGAATCGTTCGTTTGTGGTGTTCTTCAACTGAGTGTGCTGCATAAGTTTCGTCCCGTATTTCAGTTGGTACGATATTCAGGATAGTACAGTATATTTTCTTGGCGGAACACATGACCACTAGAAAATTTATATTAGCTCAGGCTACCGATTAGTAGTCAGATTACTGTTTTCCTTGTGCACCTTACTTCCGGTTTTCTTATTCTATCCAATAAGGACTTTATCTGGTGTCAGCGAATACACACTCATTTGCAAACTAATTTGGGCTGTCGACGGATTTTTAGCAACCTTATGAGTAGTACATTACTTTAGCTGGTGGTTTATATGACCGGCGGCTAAATGGCTTGTGTGCGTCTGTCTTCCGGTTTTTATTCATATTCCGATTATAAGTGGGAGTTCACATACAGAAGAAGTTGGAGCTGCTTGCTTGGCGACGAGCCAAGTGATCAGGGCCGCCCCAATCACCACGCGTCTGAAGTTATTCCAGTCAATATATGATTCTTTCTTAACCCATGTTCCCGATTCGTTAGTCCGCAAGGCAGTTCGCGCGAGCTCTGAAGTTTGTTTATGGTACGTACTTGTTGAACGCTTTGTTCGGTAAGTTTACGTTCAGTGAATAATTGCTTGCGTAATAGTCTAGTCTTGTAGCCCATGGGCACCTGTGTACACCGTTTTACTTGTTTGATCAAAAGTACTGACCCACCGAGATGGGTCAGTGGTTAGAGTGCGAATTTACTGGCCGGAAGGTCCGTGATTCGAACCCGACCTCTGCCTCTCGACATCTGCCGTCTAGGCCTGGCAACACGGCAGTATCTTAGCCCTCGTGCTTCTTTCGGGTGGCATGGCAGCTAGGCTCCGAAAGGGTGTTACATCTGAAGGATTATCTTATATCATTATTACTGACTCACCGGTTCCCACCAAGAGACCATCAAGCTGATTGCTCACGACTATTCTCTACAGCCTTCCGATTCATCACCGTTTGTCATCACTGACATGTGCACGTATTTAAGTTACAACTGAGATGATTTGTTCTTTAACTTGGTCCGTGATTTCTACTGTCCCATGAGCTGTTTGTCACAGTCCTGTGTCAACAATTGTGTCAAAAAAGTCCCGTTTCCGAAACTGTGCGTAAGGTGAATAACAATGAAAGATAGGCTGTAGAATCAACCACAATGCCAAGGATTCCCACATAGATAAAGCAAACTATGCTTCCAGGAAGTCATGTGTAAGTAAAACTGCAATCAACACTTTCAACCGGCTACGCACGGCCGAAGGCAGAGCATTGAACTAGTCTACAACAAAGTTCGAGGTCTACACCCAGAGAAGTAGTAGGCAAAATGACAATTTCATTAATCATAAAGAATAAAATGCGTTTACGAATAATAATAGAGGTGTGATCTCATGTGCAAGACTGAGTTAACTGCGTCCCACACATGGTAAAGTAGACTCATATTACATAATCCGAAGCTAGTCATTTGTACACTGTTTACGGGTAACACCGGCCTTTTACGGAGAATGCGGCTACAAACATGTACCTGACATGTGAAGTTTCTCTGTAGTTTCCTATCGCTCTATTTTTACAGAAAGAGAAAGAACGAAACTTACTTCTGAATCAGCTGCTTACGAATCGAAACAGACAGCTGATTAAAAGCACAAGCTTGAACGAAAGAATCAGGATGACGAAGGCCAACTTCGAGGACGGCGAACTGTGAGTAGTGGTCACGAATGTGGATTTCCAGCAGACTCGGTGACATGGAAAATTCTTCTGCATGAGGCATAGCTTGTAGTTTGACCCGTGCCTCCTGAACTACAGAAAAAAGGGACCACAAACGGAACGAAAATCTCACATTGAATAGAAATGGTAGTAGTAGGACTTTCAGTGGGGTACTAATATGTCCCAGAAGTTAATCGTCAAAAGGCAATGGAATTGTTTGGTAATTAAACTGATAACTCACTGGAAAAGCCTTCGATCCAGAGGTCAAACATGTCCATGTCGATAAAACTAGGACTGGTAACGGTTACGTCCAACATTTTGCCGGGCAACAATTGTGTATTCAAAGCATGTGCATTTCTACAAGGGAATAGGAAGACAACTGTTCAAACGAGTCGAGTGTGTATTCTGAAGAATTCCGCAACCACCAACGATTGAAACAAAAAGTGTTTAGCAGGCTTCAACCGTCTGTGACACTACCTGATTGTGAAGTCCAGATTGGCGGGCCAATCGATCGACACAACCAAGGTATGTTACTGGGTCGTCGTTCGATACACCGGGTTTTCCGCTCACATCCCTCGAGCGTGAACATGTTCACCTGTTCGGACGTTAAATTCAAATGAGTCCAGAATGTGTTGGTGGAGCAGTGGTAACACGCTCTTCTCGCACGTGCGGAGTTAAAACCCCGGCACGACCAGTGGATGTGCACAGCTGATGAGTTGTAATACGAGCGAAACCAGGGTCCAGCGCTTCCCTTCCTTTGGTGTGGACTCACCAGAATGACTGCGCCAGGAGAAAAACCATTGTTCGAACGCGAGTTATGTGAGTGTGCATTTTACAAACTCCCGCGAACACCAACACCTGAGGTTAACAATTCTTGAGAAATAAAGTATGCCTTTCTGTCATGAATATTCTTTGTGCTCACATTATCGTTTTGTATTAACCATGCTTTCGCCTCTGTCACGAAGAGACTGGACCTTACCGTGGTGTGACGGTTTGAGCACCTCAGCGATCCATTGAGCTATACTGGAGAGTGTCCCGCGACACTCACAGAGTCTCTCATACCAGGTTGGTCAATGGTTAGAGGTCTGACGAACACAGTCTCCTGGCCCTCCA